CGGGCCGAGGAACCGGGGCTGCCGTGCATTGACCGCCACCGAGCCGGACTTACCGAGGGTGCCGGGTTCAAGGATAATCTGAGCCGGGAGACTTCGTGTCGTCATTATCCGACCAGATTTCGGTCAAAGGAGGTTTTCGTTCCTTCTCTTTTATTTCTTATTTTCCCAGAATTTTACTTAGTGTATTTTTCCCTTTTCTTCTCTTTTTGCTTGCTGCTAATCCTTTGTGCTGTGTGTTGTGATTTGCAGCTTAGAACGAGTAGAAACAGGCTGAAAACGTGGAAGAAAAGGGCAGCTGGAACCAGCCCGGGATAGAAAACGAGCAGACTCGGAGTTCTTGTAGACGAGCAGCACTCCAGCAGGCCTAAGAAGGAGCGAAAGCGGTCAGACGACCAAAGAGACGAGCTTCCGCTGCATACGAGTCTATCGGTGTGATCGGGATGGCCACATAACAGAAATTGTATTAAAATTAAATATATGTAGGGGAAAAATATGCAGGAGTGTTTTTTCCTTTAACATTGGAAAAAATCATGTAATGGTCTGTTTGTGTAATGTAATTTAGCCTGCAATGTTTGATGAAAGTACGTGGGCTTCTCTGGATGAACACTGGACACATATGATTGATAAGTTGGACCAGCAGGCCCAGTTTAACAAAACTATTACAAGGACCAAAGGCCCACAAGCCCAAATATCCCCTGTCCACGCAATCAGAAAAAATGATGAGAGATAATTTATGAAAAAATATGAAATTAGTTGACGAGTTAGTTGCAACAAAACTTCCGTTTGGTACATTTATTAGAGAACATTTTGGGAGAATGCTGCTATCCCATTACGGCATGGTTCCGTTGTGTTTGTAGCCATAAATATACATGCAATCTAGTAATGTGTAGATAATGTATACTTAAAAAAAGAAAAAAAACGAAACCATCCCGTAATGGGATGGTAGCATTCTCTACATTTTGGATAAGCTCGAGTTTTTCTTAAAACTCATCCAGAAGCTTATAAACTAATTAATAAATAAAATATAATCTAATTTATAATACTTATTAAATACAATGTAGTAAATCTAGTAACTATTACAATTCTAGCTCATGTAATTTGCATAAAATATTGAGTGATGCACTTATTCCTTCATTTTACACCGTTTTTTTTTTTTTTTTTTTTTTTTTTTTCCTTACTATCCAATAATTCATAAAATATGATCATTAAGGAAAAAAGTGTCATGCAAAACCAAAACAAATTAATTTATTTGTTCTTTTATTGCGGTGTTTTTATTGTGAGTGGGTGGGTATTTGTAGGTGATATGGACCTTCAACAAGAACTCGTTTGTTCAATAATGAAAATTGTGAATGGAAATTGGGACCCTTCAAAAATATTATTTTTTTTTAAATAATAATAAAAAATAAATAATATTATTATTTCATGTATTATCCAAATACATGAAATAAAAGGCTAGCTAGCTCGAGCATAATCGGATTGCAAAATTAAAGACAAAAATTGATCATAAACTTTTTGTGGAAATCTAATTTTTTTTGACAAAGTTATCATAAAAATTGATCAATTTTAAATATTTCTAACTAGCCAAAATTGTCCTTATTTAATTGTTAAAAAGCTAGAAATAAATGCAAAGCTAAAGACAAATGGGATTCCCGTTGATTATGTTGGTTGTGTATTGACTACATTGGTTGAAAGTTTCATAATATAATTAAGAGGATAAGATAAGGCTATGGCTTATGTATAAACTTTCACTATGCATGATTGGACAAATTAATGTGTGACAAATTATGATGAAATAAATATCACAAAAGATTTTTCTATTATTTATTATGTTTGACAATACAGAAATAAAGTAAATATTTGATCGTGCTATTTCAACATACATATTTTCAAACTGAAATATGATATTCTGCTTATTTTCGTTTATTTTATTGCCGTTTTAGATTTGATATTTTGTTGCTAATTATTTGTCGTTTTTATAAAAAATCATTCAGTTATAACTTATATGATATGCACAATCTTATATTACGAAAATAATAATAATAATAAAGTAAATAACTAATAGTTTAAAAATTTAAAACATGATAAGAGAAAATAATCATTTAAAAACAAATATATAAATGTTACGAGTCGACCTGCAGACTGAATAAATTAACCGATTCATACAAGAATTTACCAGAAAAAAAATGTCTTATTGCATGGAAAAAAATAAAATAAAAATGCATGGTTGATGTTAAATTATCCCAAATTAAGCACCTAACATGTAGGGATGTTTCCCTTTTATATCCCCAAGGATCCAAATGACTAGTTATTTCTCTTTAGAACAAGTCTTGAGCCTCAATATCCTCCACTAATATTTCCTCAATATAATTTTATTTTTTTCCCTAAAAAATAATTTAATTTAATGGACATGCCCTATAGGCTATAGTCCACTCATTTAATATCTCCCGTGAATTGCACGAGCTATTTAACGACTTTTGTCTCGTGCATTATTACACGGACTACGTACTAATTTAATTTAACGGACCATCAAATTAAACATTTAATCCACACTCACATTTTCCAATCTCTCTCTCTCTTTTT